AAAATCGTAATAATACAAATAACTAATCCGGTGACGTACTTGTTGGAAGACATGAAAGGAAAGCCGATACTGGGAGGATTTTATGAGCAGGACTTGCAAAAGGCTAAGTATTCCGACATCTATTTGGTGGAGAAGGTGCTGCGACGTAAGAAAGATAAAGTGTACGTCAAGTGGTGGGGTTCTGGACGAAAAATCTTGGATAGAAAATGATAATATCGTATTGTAATTTTCGCTGTAAATTAATAAATAAAGAAAACAAAATCTGTTTTGATCTTTTTTATTTTTCCTTCCACTTACCATACAACATATTTATCTTTTTTCTAGTAAAACTAAATTTTTTCAAGAATATCGTACGTTTTCTTATAATCGCTCAGCAACGTTGAGGGCCATACGCTGCTATCTGGACCACACCTCCAACCAGGAGAGCGTTACAATCTTGTGTACCGGTCCTTATATTTTTCAATAGACACTCGTAGATTTTCCGATGGCGAGGATCTTGCCGTGGACTAAAATTATACCTAACATTCGACTCTTGGCAAACATCAATAAATATGCATTAAAGTTTGCATATTCTGCCGCTGTGCATATAGCATCGTTAATGACATACGAACTATCCTTATACATACTACTACTACTACTAATTACATTATTTACACTATTTGCTCTTAAATCTGCTATAAGTTGTAAAATAAAACGATCCGCTTTGAGACGATCGTACTTTTGCTGTATCGCTTTACGCTCCTGAACTATTCGTCGTTTCAAGGCCATCTCCATATTATCCATGATCAACGGAACAGGTAAACAGATATCAAAAGAACAGATCAACTGGAACAGGGTTTGTTCCCCAATAAAGCTGTATAAGCTGTTAGTTAAAGCTGTTCAGCTGCTAGGAAAACGAATGCAAATAATTGACGTTAAGACATACATGCTTCTTAAATTGAGTAGGATAAACATAGCTATTTTTACAGAAGGCCCAACGTATAAACTGGTAAACAGATAAACTAGTAAACAACTGAGCAGGTAAACAGATAAACAGCTATAACAGAAACAGATTTATTAAAAAAACAGATATTGTTTACCTGTTCATCTGTTTACCTGTTTATCTGTTTACCTGTTTATCTGTTTACCTGTTTATTTCTGAAGCTGTTTATTTTGAAAGCTGTAGGTATACTTGATAGCCGTGTTTTTACAACTGAAAAATAAGCACGTTTTCACGGTAGGTTCGTAGGTATTATACATAGTGAAACCTTTTCTGAAACGATCGTTTTGCACATAGGCATCCTTAGGGTATTAAGAGAAAGAATAAACGTTAAACTTTTATCGCTTTATTTACTAAAAAATTATGACATTGTATAATTGTTATGTATGTAATACACGTTTGCCAATGCACAATGACATTTTGGATAGGAATGATAATGATATAAACAGCTGGCTTCCAATTTAGGTAATGCAGGTTCCTCGTTGATCTCGACGACATCCTGCGATAAGGTTTTTCGTATAAATTCTGCCTTCTCCTTTCCCTTCACATATATAGCCTCCATTGGTGATACTAGCCGGCGAAGTATAATCGGAAATAAGTGGGGCGGTGTATGTCCTTCTTCCCATTTAATACAATGGTGGTTGTGCATCAGCCAGATTGCTTGTCTTTGATAGTTCACATCTAAGCTGCTAAATGAAAATGGAGGTTTGAACACAAAATGTGCAACTTGGTGCCCATTAAATACCGCCAACTCCTTTGGCGTAAATGTCGTTGTGGATGTTTTAAATCCTTGAACGCCAATAGCAATAACCATTTTCTGCTACCGATTCACCAACTGTTTCGAGCAGTATAGGGACTACTAGCACTACTGTACTGATTGAAAGCATCGCTAAGCTTATATTTTCAACTCGTGACCTTGAAAGTGGTTGACTGCGATGATTGGCGCTTGTTATATGTGAACTACCTCAGTTATTCCCAAAGGAATTGTATCAACGCCAAACAAATTCGGGTAGCGCGGGTTCCTGTTACGCAGAAAGAAGCCCTCGGCAGCGGTGGTGGAATTATCACAACTGCCAAAAATGAGGAGCTCATAAATATACACAGCCTCAATCTATTCACCTGTTACCTCTTCCTTCCGTTTCCAGTTCTCTAAATAGCATGACTCCACTGCTACGTCGATACGCGATTTATAAAGGGGCGAATTTCAAACGCGAAGCACATTACCGAAAAGGCCCCCAACCGTAATTCTAATTAGTTTTGCAGTGTCTAGGGGAAAATAGGATCTGTAACGTTGAATACCAAAATCTTAGACCAAAACGATGTGTACATTTGCTTATATGTATACTGTAATGTAAAAATAATTCATTGACTGACAGGCGGACATGCCATTGGATGTCACGGGGTACCTCATATATTCCTCAAAATAATTGCCCAAAGCCTCTCGGCGCGTAGGTAATGAACCACTTCCCACCTCGGTATGTAATCTAATACTTTTGGGAATGTTTATTTTAGGTGTGTAAGAAATTGTTTTGCTATTATAGGTGTTATAGGGGGGAGCGCCGTTAAGAGAGCTTTCTTATATACAGTTTATTTTTTAAATAATTCATGCACATCTTTTTTCTACATGCTAAATTCCTGCGCCCATCCTATCAGCACTCGTTATGAAGACTTATTTCTAAGGGGCAAGTAGTTATTGAAATCGGTTATCCACCTTAAAATATTTATGAAATCATCATGGTAGAACATACGCACATGCTCGGATGCGACTGTGATTATGCAACCACACTAGCCCCATTCTGCATTCGGAATAGTATGATACTGTGTTTAGTTGCATTAACTGCATCTTCGCGAAATGTCGGATGCAGTGTTGCAACCATACTAGCTCACTTCTGCATTCTGGGTTGCATAACAAAGCTATTAATTTACATCTTTCAATATAAATATATTTTAAAAGTGAACTTAAGAAATTCTTCAACACATTGAAAATCCTTTTTTCCAAGCGCCTCTCTTTTGGAAGAGTCCAGTTGTTTTGTCGACGGTTTGCGCATCCACCAGTTTGCAGCGGTATCCATATTTTTTTGGCCCGTCCGGCCAGTTCCTTACAGGTCGGTCGCTTCCAGAGCCGAAAAGTAGGCCGACGCTTTTCATGAGGTCTTCCTGACCTCCTTTGCCGCTCGGGAGTTGTTGATGTGTTTGTGTGACTGTAATCAATCATCGATTACGGTTCTACAAAATATTTCCACAAAAACTTACGGTACATTCGTAGGATTGGTTCCACACCACCTGAGTAGATATTAATTGAAGGGCATGCGATGGTGCTGGTATCCAAAAGTGATAAAGCTATGCAAAAAGAAAATCAGCAGCAGCAACTCCATTCTATCTGTGCTATGACCCTGTTCGAAATGTCCCCCCATATTTACTGTAAACAAGTTATTATTTTTAACATGCGTGCGCAAAAATAGTAGGGGTGGGAGAGAAATATAAAACAGTTTGTACCTACTTCCGCAATAGTTGACCAAATTTTTTAATTATTAGATTCAAATTATCGTCGTCCTTCCGCCTTCGTATAATACCGGTGGGAAGCGGGAGGTCGCCGGGGGTGCACTGCCACTGCGTTTTTCTGCAGTCCTCGCATTATTTTAGTTAGGGACTGTTGTTGTTAATTTGGTTGCCGTTTTTTTTGTAAACTCTTCCTTTGCATTCCCGGTTTTTGGTTGTAAGGTTTGGATACTTTTTCGCCATGACGTATGTCAGAAGAGAGACGCGAATGAACTAATGGAAAATTTCAACCAGTGTCTTTAGCGGAGATAAGAGGGATGAGCTACATGATGCTTGCAACAGACGTCTTTGTTTCAACACCTGCAGGGTCCCGGGGGGAATGTATTCGATTTAGATTCCAAAGTACAAGCGCACTATACAATTTTTCTTTGGTATACTTTTCTAATTATACCTATAGCGCAACTTGCCGGTTTACCTACTGTAAATGAAGATTTACTAATATTCGTATTTACCCTCTTATACGTACCTACTCTTATTTAGTTCCATACGTATGTCTACAAAATATAGATTGTCAATGATAAGCAATTCGTGGAAACCAATTACAGCCACACGTAAATTATATCCTTGCTTTTTGGAAATTTTCCCCCCCGAGCAATGTAGTGTCTTTTATATAAGAACAAGGAAAACGCGATGTAGGTGCATAAGTACGTATATATATAGGCAAATGCCCCCCACTAAACGCTAATCGAAAAGGTGCTTATCTAACTGCTGCTGCTGCATTTCTTTACTGCCTTAACTATTGCAAAGCATTCTCGCGAAGTAATGATTAATTAAAAGGTGATGGGGAAAAAATAACTCTTCCAACTTTTTGACAAAAAACAAACGACTCGCAAAATCCTGTCATTGTTTTTTGGTGTTCCGCTAACAGCTAACTGGCCAACTGCGCTTTATAGACAGATATTACGAAAAAAACCAATTTAAAATTTATTTCGTAATGTCGTAATGAAGGGCTACCGCAAAATGCGATACTGTATTGTAGTTCTCCGAAACCACTATTTCTAATGAGGAATGTATATTACGAAATGCTAGTAAGTACGTCCAATATTAATTACCCTAACGAGAAATGTTTCATTTGATTTTGACCAAAACTACTTAGCCTAAAGAATAAATAGGTGACTTCCTTGACGTATTTACCACGTAAGGCGTTTTCAAAAAAACAAAGCGCCCTTGTTTCCGACCGTTATTCCTGGAAATGGGAGTATGCATTTCAGATCTAAAACAAAGATGTATCGTTTTCTCACTCGTTACACGTTCCGTCTTTAGTTTTCCGCTACGATCGCAATTTGCCTCCTATTTACTATAGTTAAACGTAAAATGCGCGCGCGAGTCACACGCAATATGACATCACGAAAATTCTCAACTTTTCGAGCATCGGGCGCGAAAATTTCGCAACAAACGTTTCTAAAGCCACCTGTCGATCAACAACGGCCATCAACGACACGTTGGTGTTGGCTCCAGAAATAAACGCTGTTGTAAACAACGTGATGTCTCTTAGGTAAATTCGTATCAAAATGGGATTCCATTGAAATAGAGGCCCCTGTCATCAAAATCAATTCGCCCCACGATTGTGTAAGTATACAACATTACTCTGATACCTTTTGAGTTGGGGCATTTAGATACTACGTTAAAAAGTAATTGTTTTCTTGTTTTTACAGAACAGAAAATGTAGTGGACACACATCCGTAGCGCGGTTAGAATGAGGGTCTGCTACAGATTTTCTGTTTGCCTGGTGAGTTTTTTAGTACCTTCAATAAACGATTTTTTTCATTCTCCAATTTTCTTTTTTTAAAAGTTGAACGTAATCCCTCAAATTGCTGGAAACGATGAGATCACCTACACTGCCTCCACCACCAACCGCTCCGGTAGAGGTCATGATTGAAACTTTATCGTAACGGGCGAATTATTGATTACAGGGACGCAAAACAACTTGAATCTCCCTCGATGCCCTTCGTCGTTTTGCCGCACCAAAGGTACGTTGTGGTTGGAGCCCATTTAACGATCCAAGGGATATTCGCAACCCACACCTTCGGGGGGGATTGCAGCGCAAACTAAATGTTTCAACACAAGAGGCGGGATGGAATTCAAAGAATGGCATTTTTTTTTCTTAATGAAACACGATTATTTGTAGTCTAATGGTTTTATTTACAACACTATTTACATAATCTTTTTTCAAAAATAGCTAATGTTTACATAAATTTTAAGTTTGTGGTCTTTCCTAACGGTCCTGCACTTGTAATGAACACCTCGTTTGTCTTCAAGGATTCTTGGAACTCGCTCAGCCGATTACCTACTTTGAAATACTCGTAGAACCGCAGTGGTAGTACGCATTTATAATTTTCTGTTTCCAGTACTATTCGGTCACCATACTTTGTGTTTATGATATCGATATTCAGAATTTTAAACTTTTCCTCCACTTCCATATCCTTTACGTTCTTAAATGCTTTACAGAATGTTCCATTGTTGAGCGCATTAAGATCCATTTTTTAACTGTTTGGAAAGCACTATCGGACTGAATGAAAAAAAACGTTCTGCAGCTCACCTTATATTTCCAAAGTGTGACCTTGAAATCTACAGTAATAGATTTCTGCACGGAGATAGAATTGTTAGCCCGGACGCAAACCTCGAAAGCAACTTAGTGTGATTTCGACCCATACATTATCGAGAGTAGCTTTACTAGTTTTACAAACCCCAGTCCAGAACCGTACAAGCAAAACATTCGAACCCACGCAGCACAGATACAAACCTAGTTACTTGAAGGCCCCCCGATCAAATTATCCTATCCCGGAAGTAAACCACCACGATCAAATTGCCTTAAACGACCTTGAAACTTCACCGTAACCTGACAACAAACCTCCGACCCAAATAGCTCGGACGCAAACCCCAAGAACCCTCGACTCTGGCACAAACCAAATTACTTTACCTCGAACGCAAACCTCCGATACTTTATCTCGACCCCCTTGACGTTACCACAGGCGCAAACCTCGCTAGCGCAGTTCAGAACAACTCAATCCTAATGACTTTTCTAGGGGGATTTTAGTGTGATTTAGAATCACCCGTACACTACCATCGACAAGAACCCTCAGGCGCAAACCGAATTACTTTAGCTCGGACGCAAACTTCCGATACTTTATCTCGAGCACAAACCTCGACCCCCTTGACGTTAACACAGGCGCAAACCCCGCTACCACAGTTCAGAACCACTCAATTCTAGTGACTTTTCTAGGGGGATTTTTCATCTAGTGAGATTTAGAATCGGCCGTACACTACCATCGACAACACAACCCTCAGGCACAAACCGACTTACTTTAGCTCTGACTTTGAGAACGCGTTAGCTTAGACCCACTTTAGTTCAGGACACAACCCGCGTTCAACTCTTAGCTCGGACACAAACCTCCGATACTTTAGCTCAGACGCAAACCTCGATCCCTTGACCTTAGCACTGACGCAAACCTCGCCAGCAGAGTTACAAACCTAGTTACTTTTCTAGTGACTTTTTGATTTAGAATCGACCCCTATATCACTAGCAGAGTTTCAAACCTCTCTAGTGACGCAGAGTTTCAAACCTCTCGTGACCTTCTAGTGACTTTGAGCAGAGTTTCAAACCTAGTTACTTTTCTAGTGACTTTTTTCACATCTAGTGACTTTTCTAGTGACTTTTGAGTTAGAATCGGCCTTATAACACTACTCGCATCATCGATCCGTTAAGTTCAATTCATTCACTCGCACAAATATCTAAAATCAATACACCATTGTCTCTCACTCCTATCTCAGATAACATAGGCAACCACAGCATCGTAACATTACTACGTAAGTTCAAAGATATAACAGTGGAGAAAATATTTTCGCCCGACACTGTGAAGCATAACGTTACACATGTTATTGAAACTAAAGGTGCACCAGTAACATCAAAAACAAGAAGACTTTCTACGGAAAAACTGAAAATCGCTAAGGATCAATTCGAGTTCATGATGTCCCAAGGAATTTGCCGGCCATCGGATAGCGAATGGGCCAGTCCACTTCAATTAGTTAAGAAAACTAACGGCCAGTGGAGACCCTGTGGAGATTACCGTGGTCTAAATGCGGTCACAGTCCCCGATAGGTACCCCATACCACTCCTAAGTGATTTTACACACAATCTGAATGGATGCAAGATCTTCTCCACACTGGATTTAGTGAGAGCGTATCATCAAATACCAGTTGAACCAAGCGATGTCCCCAAAACCGCCATATCAACACCGTTCGGGTTGTTTGAATTTACTCGCATGACATTCGGTTTGCGAAATGCAGCACAAACATTTCAACGGTTTATACACTCGGTTTTACGCGGATTAGATTTTTGTTTTTCTTACATTGACGACATTTTAATCGCTTCTACAAACGACGTAGAACATCTGAAACACATCGAACAAGTTTTCCAACGTCTTCAACAGTATGGCCTTGTCATCAACACAGGAAAGTGCGTATTTGGGCAACCCGAAGTTACATTTCTCGGGCATTCTGTTAATGAGAATGGAATTGGACCGGCACAAGGACGTGTACAAGCCATCGTAGATTATAAACCACCACGAACCGTTAAGGACCTAAGAAGATTCCTAGGTATGCTGAACTTTTATAGAAAGTTTTTACCGCAAGCTGCTCGAAACAAGCACCACTCACTGATCTTTTGAAAGGTTCTACAAAAAATGACAAAACTAAGATAGAATGGTCCACCAGCTGTCGCACAGCATTCGAAGAGACCAAACGACAACTAGCAGAAGCAACAGTTTTGGCTCACCCAATACCTGAAGCTAAACTAGCAGTAATGGTAGACGCATCGGACATAGCGATTGGTGCAGTCGTCCAGCAGGCAGTACGAGGCCATTGGCAGCCCCTCAGTTTTTTTTCCGCAAAACTTACCGACACGCAACGTCGATACAGCGCATACGACAGGGAATTATTGGCAGCGTATTCAAGCATTAAACACTTTCGACCCATAATAGAAGGCCGTCCGTTCACATTATTTACGGATCACAAGCCGCTCACATATGCCTACCGACAAAAACCGGAGAAGGCATCCCCAAGACAACAGAGACACCTCGATTTAGTGTTCCAATTCACCACAGATATCCAACATATTTCGGGTAAAGATAACGTGGTAGCGGACACACTTTCGCGAGTGGAACAATTATCAATTCCTAGTACCATTAATTATGAGGAGCTCGCAGATGCACAAACGACGGATGAACAGCTCACAAAACTTTTACAAGGAAGTACAACGTTGCAACTCAAACGGATCTCGATACTTGGAACAAATAAAACAATTTACTGTGACGTTTCAACAGGACACCAACGCCCGTACGTACCGAAGAAGTTCCAAAGAACAGTTTTTGAAAGCGTCCACAAATTAGCTCACCCAGGTATAAGATCCGGCATAAAGACTATAACAAAAAATTTTGTATGGCATAATATGAAACGCGACATCCATCACTGGACAAAAACGTGCCCCAACTGCCAAATTGCAAAAATTACACGCCACGTAAAATCGCAAGTTGGAAAATTTCCAGAAAATATCAGGAGATTTGAACACATCCATCTAGACATAATAGGCCCACTACCAACGTCTGAAGATAAGCGATACTGCGTAACGTTAATTGACCGATATACGCGATGGGTCGAGGCAGTACCCGTTGCAGACATCCGAGCAGAAACAGTAGCTCGTGCCGTATTTGACAATTGGATAACGCGATTCGGGACACCAACTACCGTTGTCACCGACCAAGGTCGCCAATTTGAATCGGCCTTATTTTCTGAACTCGGTAAATTAATAGGATTTAAACGACAACGCACAACTGCATACAACCCGCAAGCCAACGGTCTCATCGAGAGATGGCATAGGACTTTGAAGACCGCAATCACATGTCACAACCAGCAGAATTGGACACGGATACTTCCGATTGTCTTGTTAGGATTACGCACGGCATTCCGCGAGGACTTCAATTCAACGTCGGCAGAACTGGTATATGGAACAACTATAAATTTACCAAGTTGCTTCGTAACCTGCGACCAGAGCTCTCAATCAATACAATCAGAGTTTGTGGTACAATTACGCAAACATTTCAATGAAATGCAACCCATTCCTGCGACTAACCACGCCAGACAATCCAACATCTTTGTGTTTCGAGAGTTGTCTAGCTGCTCACACGTACTGGTAAGGAAAGACTACGTACGATCTCCATTACAAGCACCATACGAAGGCCCCTATGAAGTGCGAGATCGAAATGATAAACATTTCACTATAGAAGTTAAAGGAAAACTCAGACATGTTTCCATCAACCGACTAAAACCATACTTTTGCGAGAGTAATGATTACACTCAAACTTCCTCACATTCTGGCCCGACACCGCATAGTTTCATCGAAATGCCAGATAAACCTAAGGTGAGATTCGCAGATACCCAATGATCACAAAAGCGGAAAGAATTGTCAAACCAACGAACAAATCGCTGACGTGACGTTAAATCGTGCATTAGCATGCACTGGCGGGGGAGTACTGTGGCGATCCATGGGTGGATCTGAAACAGTAGTTTTTTAGTTTACATGGTGATAATTTGAATATGTCATTTAATCAAATATAAAAATATTATTAGTGTTATTTAATTCTATTCTAAACGCTGAATAGTGACCACACTACAGCAACATAAAGTTGATGATTTTTCCGAAAAGAAACGTTGAATTGAAAATCTCTCAACGCTATTATGGAGCTCAAATAGTGGCAATAAGAAAGTATTTTTGCTATTTTTTGTATCTGTACAAATAACAGAAAAAATTAAAAACAAAACCGGAAATCTTCGGTTTTTCTGGCATACCTTCGGAACTAACCGGAATTTTCTGGCTTGGACAGACTGTAGCTTATATTAGGACAAGGACGTTGTGCCCATTGCGTGGCATATAAATACGAAGTTCGTGCTTTAGTCGAGTTCCATTACAATTCTTGACCGGACAAGGAAAATAGAGAAAATTCCACGAAATTTGTTGTGTACATACTTTATGAGTTAAGGAACAAAATTGTTGAACAGTTTTTTATAATCATCCTTACCTAATCTTAAAAATACAAACCAACACATTTACTAAAGTACAATATGCCATATTTACCATATACAAGGTGTTACATGACCGTATGTAAAAAAAATTGGATGATAGAGGGGATCAAGACAAGAACTTTGTCTAAATAAATCGAGGGTCCAACATGTTTCGTTTGGGAGCCACCCCCAAAGAAATGGTGAAATTTGGATTTCTTCTTTAAGTTTTTTCTCAGCAACCATAAGAGTTACAAAGATGAGTGGCACGTCTTTGAATAGGTTTTCGGATATGCCCTATCGGATTTTGGAAAAAAAATTCAACATTCCTACCCCGAATGGGAGCATCCATACCTGGGGGTGCGAAAAAAATTCTGATTTCGACGAAATTTTGTATCTGGGGACTAATAGTCCAGTCAATTTGTACTTTCTGATTACAAAAGGTCC